CTTCAGTTACCCGACACGGTACAACTAGAGATAAAATACAGCGTATGCTCTTTCCATTTCACTCGTGATTTGGAAAAATCCATCCCCGCGTTTTCCAGTTGAAAAATTGCAGCGGTCCGTTGGCGTCGCATTACAACCAACCGTGTAGGTAAATAAATCTTGATCGTTTTGGCAACGTGACGTTTTTCCGCCGCTAAAAGATCGATCCTGTTCGATATATTCTGATCGATGATCAGCTTGAATTTCAATGTAAGCCCTGAACTGGAATGCCAATTTCGAACAAAATGAATAAATTGAAGATCGATAGGGGCGCGTGATTCACCAAGTATTTGACAATTATTCGGCCAGACATGTATGCAAAATACGTCGCTGGTGTTCAAAGTTGATTCTCGCTGAAAGATTGTTCGTAAGAAATTATTGGCGAAAGAACGGCGCTGCGAATTGAAAGCGAAGGGAAAATCTGTACCTGCATCTCTGCCCTTTGCTATTCTCGTTCTTCATTACTTGATACTTATGTCTAAAATATGTACGCGTGCGTGCACTTTCCGCGGTACGAAAGCAGAGCTCGCGGCACGAAGAGGACATGCAGAGCGACGGATAAGCCACGAGTGCGAACCCGAACGATGGGTCGATTCGGGCGCACGTGACACCTCGGCTGAAACTTAGTATTTAGTAACTCACGTTCTAATTAGCACGTGCGTCCCACGCGAACAGCTATTTTACGGATGAAGAAAGGCGAGCATTCCAACCAACTAACGTCAAGTATTTTTTAAGCATTTTCGCTCCGTGAATTTCACCAGATGCCTCGCCAGCCAAACGAATCGTCGAAATATTAATACGCGGTAAGCTGCTATTTATTTTAGCGAAAGGTGAATAAACAAAAGCTACTCTGTCATTCATCATTTTAACTTGTAAGCTGTAGATATCAAATTATCCGATAGAAAAGAAAATACTCTATTCGTGCACAAGTTAAATCCGCGCGGCCTTCCGCGTGATCGAGAATTGTCGCGTTGATATCAGCTTACCACGGCTAGCTTAGATATTCGATACAGATTTTTAAAGAAAAATAATAATGTTTGTAGCGATGAAACCCCCGTCAAGCGCAGATACACACACGTCCAAGTGAATATATCTTGCTTCAAAGGGCGGGAGCAGCACAATGGCTGACTAATCTCTACACGCACTAGTGATCTTTTTTTCGTTGACTCTTTTTTTTTTACACCCTTCGCCGTTAGCGACAGGGAGTGATAGATTATGTACAATCCCGGCGCTGTTGACCGCTTCAAGGCACTCCCAGACTGTAACTGGCTGATCGATCCTTCGGAACAATCGTGATTTTATTTTTAGACCAAAAAAAAAACAACAACACGCTTATGCGAAAGGGAAGCTTACAGCTATTGTTTATTGTTACTCGTTGATGAACCTTTTGTCAGTGCACGAAGCTTTTGCAAAAATAGTCAAAACGCTTTCCAACCAATCAGAGTTCTATCGGACTTCTGTGCTTCTCCTCGTATTTCGCTATGATTAATTTTTTTTTTTTTTTAGCAAATTGCTTTGGTTCTATTAAATGTTTTCCTCCAGTTTGTTGAGTTAAAAAAATGTTATAGAGCAAACTCATTTCATCATTACATATTTTATGCTATCACTTACATATGCAGCGTCATTCAAAGCTTTTAAAAGAACTTTTCCTAAATAGACCTTCGGTTGTTTTTTTTTTTTGGTAAATACAAGTGTGGTTTTTCTTCCCGAACAATTTGCTGCGTTCCACGAAGCTGAAGCCGTTATTAACAATGTCAAATAGTCTTCGAAAGAGCGTTCAACGAAATTCGCGGAGTATTTCTCACAAGTCAACAAAAATTTATTAGAACCGAAGGCTTTGACCATATACCGCAAGCTGTAAATTATTGGAAGCCGCGTAAGATCGAAATTATCGCAGACTGCTCACGTAAAGAGACGCGTAGGCGACAAGTTCCATTGAAAGTTAGCACACATCTTCTAAAGGTCCGACGGTGCGGGACGGCACTTTGAAGAGTTCCCTCGACAGACTGACGGCTCTATCCTTTTTAATCTGCGACCATGATTTCGCAATCGATGACAATCATCCAAGGTGATTTTACTCAGACCGACACGCACACATCAGTTTGAAATTTGAGCTTTCGATTTTCACTTTCTTTGTTCACTTAAAAGCTGCAATGCCATACTACTGCAGCACGTGCAGAAGCTATGAATTGCAGGGATATCGAGAATTTATCAGTGAATGTATTGCAATGAAAATACGTCGTGAGCTGTGCAAAGATACGTTCATCCCCTGTGACAGCGATTCATCAATTGTTTGATTTTTCGAACAATGAATGTCGCAAAGAAAAGGTTCTCCGGGTTTATTCAGAACTATTCATCTCTCCAAAGCTATAATATTCTAAGAAAACAATTCTTGGAGAAGCTTTTAATTGTTGAAAAAATATGAACATGAAGAGTAGAATTAGGATGCTCGACCTCGCGCCAGATCTCACGTAACAAGCTGTTTGAGGTGTAATTCGAATATCGAGCGTTGAATTCGAGATGCAATCATTTGCATTCAAGCTATTGAAAGCAATTTTTCGTTGCTGCAAGGTCTGATCGTCTCGAACGATTTCCATCCGAAATGACGTGCAACGAAGAGAAAAGCGAGCGATCACGTTGTCAATTAGAGAAAAAGGTCTCGAGTCGCGCATCTCCGAGACACAAAGCATCCACGCATCAACGGCAGCAAAAGAATCTGGCGCGGAATTCCCCGGAGCCGCGCCTTTTCGATCGCCAAGCTGCATGATATATACGAGCGAATGGTGCGCGCGTCAGGCCACAGATGAATTCGCGAATAGGCGGTGATTGACTTGGAGATCACGCGGACGATCGTCAGCGCCAGATACAATAATGGCTTGCACATCTCGCGAGTGAGATTGTTTAATGGATGCGCCGCAGCTGGGATTTCAAACTGTTATTTATGAGGACACTTCTTTTCGCGTTCCTCCCTCGCTCTAACGACGCTGGTGCTTTGCCTACCTTGAGACGTTCGCGTATTCTTCTGTAGCCTGTCGCGAGCGCCCGAGAAGGTTTTGCTTTCAAAGGATTTGTCCTGGTGAAAGCTTTTTATATTCCTGCGAGATCGCCTTCGAGGAAAATACACGCAGCTACGTTCGATTAGATGCTCTTTTAGCGTACAATGCGATCGCGGCAAATAAATATTTACGACGCTTTGTCAGCGATAATCTACGATAATCTTCCCATGATTTACCGAGCGATCCTTCCTCTCGGCAAAAAAGAGATTAATGATATATACGGTTACCATTATCGTTTAGAAAGTCTGCTTATCCGCCGAGTGCCGTGCTGCATGTTTTACGTGACTTTTTCAATTTCAAGCTACTGTTTTCACAAAAACCTACTCCCAAAACCGCCTTACACAAATTACGTCATTTAAGATACATAACACGTCCGAGTAACTGGCAAGCCGCATAACTTTTAAAGTACATCGAAAGGAGTTGGTGTTGATTTGCATAAAAGGGAACTTGGAATCTCGTCAAGTTTTTACGAGGCGTAGAAGACATAAGTAGACGAGTCTTTGAATTAACAAACTTTTACGCTCCTGTGTACTTTTTGAATCTTCGAAATCCGATTCGAAATTTGAAAGATCGAACTCGAGCCGTAAAACTCCGTTCTCGTTAGAGGGAACAATAAATTGTCAGCCTTGTCGCCGGAAAAATTGCGTTCTAGGGTTCCAAAATTATTTAACTGGGTTAAGTACATGCTTCTGCCATTCCAAGTTTGTTTTTACAGTTGAAATTTAATTAGTAAAGCTATTTGAATTTCAACAACTTTTTTATTACCATTTAAACTGTAGAAAAGAACTTGTAGTAGGACAATATGCATTCAAACTAATTTAAACTAGGAGCAATTTATCCAGCGAAAACGCTGCAAATTGTCAATAAGAATGTGTTTTGTGCATTTTCACAAAAACACGTAATTATACGATAAATTGGGCGTAGTTGTTCCCATGACTATATGCGTACAAACTCGGCGTTGCTTTATGATTTGCGATCGAGCAATTACGTCGTATACTATGTCATTACTGACTGAGACATCGCGTATAAGAATGGCGTTTCGGAGACCAATTAATTGCCAGTGAAGAATGGTCGCGTAATGTTTTTTGTCCGACCACCGCGAATTTAGTTTGCGTCGCGATGGGTTGCGGTTTGCCGACAGATATATTCTTGACTCTCTCGAGAGACGCCTTTAGCATAGACAATTGTGCATCTTTGTCGGTCTGTATTTGTTCCTACGGATGTCACCTTGTAGATTCGGTGTATTAATTCATACGAATCTCTTTCCCTATCTAGTAGTATTAATAATTAGTTAGCAGGACCAATAAGCACTATTTAGTTAGTAAAACAAATATTGAGCAGGGTGGTTATCGGTAATGAAACTTTAAATACACATATCGCCACCCACAAAGAAAAATCAGAATATTCTTATAACCGCACAAGCTAGTCAAATAGTGAATATTAAAGATTTGGACGACAAAACTTTCTTTTTGCATCTTAGATTTAGAAAAATTAGCTGCGCAAATTCGAAGGCAATAATTTCAGAAGAAAAAATTTATTTTGTCATTACTTTTGAAGGACAATTATTTAACTGATTGCTTTTCTCAGCTTTTTCTGAGCAGACTCAACGTTTATCTGCATTATCATCCTCGAGTCAAGTAGCATTGAGCTGAAATAAAGGAGACGCTAGAAATATTCATACTTTCCGTAGTTTTGCTTTGCTAATTTAAACTTTGAACGAGGTTCATCGAGGCGACTCGAAGATGCACGTAGTTATAATCATTATATCATCCGTGTGATAATGCAGACGTAATTATGAGATTTAACGTTAATTCTTATTGATAAATTGGCATAGCGAAAGGGGGAATGACTCCAATATTGTTGTCGCACTTTCTAATGTGAACCTGCTTTATTGTTTGTTTGCAGACGGAACAGTTCACGGTATTATGGTTGTTGTTTGCTGTAATCGTCGCCGGGAATACATCCGTTCTGGCTGGCTTACTGTTTGGAAAAAGAAGAAAATCTCGAATGAACTTTTTCATCAAACAACTCGCCATTGCAGGTCAACATTCAATTTCGTCTTTACTCTATCTACCGTAAATAGTAGAACTATATTAGTATTAAAATTATTGAATAACAGTAAGGGTACGTATTCCGAAATAAAGAGAGTTATGAAAATACAAGTTTCTAAAGTGAACATCAGAAGCCTCTAACTCTATGTTTATTTGTACAACGAGAAGGGAGCTTCTGCTGAATATCGCCGTCCGTGTAAGAATTTGATTTGCTCTTCGTGTGAACGGGAAACCCATCTGATTTGATTTGATTCATGGAATACTATGAAAATTTGAGCCGTTAAATGTCATTATGAATATACGTCGTTTGCTAGTATCCCGAGGAAAAGCGTTTTCAATAGCACGGTAGCTTAACTCACGGTGCAAACGCGGATGTTTCGGTTGAGTTAAAATAACTATATGGCAGTGCCAGCCAAGCACTCGATACGTGCTCTGACGTTCATGTCGCGAAAAGACGCAAAGTGTCAGTGCAACAGCGCTCGAATATTGTCGAGATTTCGTCGTAAAGCCGATCCTTGGTCGTATATGCGAGATTCTCCCATCCGGCAAGAAAAGAAAAATACGAGGATATTTTTCTGGAATAACAGACGATGCGTAAGAAAAGCCCGCGCTATTCTGGCACGAGTTCCCATAAAATCAGGCGGAGTGACGCACAGCGCAAGTCAAACCAAGCATAGTGCGACAGGCGAAAAGCAGGAAAAACATGTCAATAATCAAGTGGAAAGGCACCAGAAGTCTTTTGCAAAACAAGTTTTTGTGGGACCGAAGAGGCAGAGAAAAATAGACCACACCGTGAACGTGGCCGCCACGAGAGTAAGTCGGCAGGGATTTTCGCGCTGAATGCTGTGCCGGGAGGCTTTAGTGGATAAGCTGGATACGTTTGCTCTCTCGCTAGCACCCCTCTTGTCTTTAGAGCTCAGCCCATGGTCAAGCGTATTCTTCTGTGTCCACCTTCTGTGTCTTCGTTATCCTTGCTCTACGGGTAACAACCTACGATACGCACCCGCGCTCCGAACATCATCGCACTTCCCTGCAAAGCCTTCTTTACTCGTCTATTATTATTTCGGTACTATTCGCTTTTTATGCCGCTGCACTTGCTTTTCTTAAAAAATTTGACCGATAAGAAAGGACGAGGAAACGGTCACTCGCCGCAAAGAAAGACGAGGGGCGCGAGCGAGGAAAGAGAAAGTGAAAATCTTGTCTGAATTTTAACGCTAAAAGGAATTAAAAAAGCGGCAGACTCTGCGTTCCGCAATCTCGACAATCAATCTCCGGTGAAACGACCTGAAAAATACATAAGGGGCGTTTCGAATCGCGTGGCGTTCACCGGCAAATTACGCTTTATCCCCTTTCCTTCGAGGATCGAGTTTCAAGAGCTTTTTCTCACTCGTCGGAATGAACTGTGCACGCGCTCGGATATCAACGTCGAATGCTCCTCGCCGGGGAATAAAATCGACTGAAATCAGTTATGTCCCATGAATTTCGTGTTGAAACGCGGTCTCTCCTCGCGCCAAACATTCCTCAGCCACGTATACAATGTTCAGTTCAGCGTGCACGTCACTTGGACGCACAGTAGATGGCTTAATTAATCCCTCTTGCGATTAAGTAGATGGGATCTGCGATTCAAAACTCATTCGCTAAGGTGATTGTTATAATTAAATGTCAAACACTTGAAAAGAATCTATCATTTAATTAAAGCGCCCGATGTGCCCTGAATCTCGACTATGTGAAAATGACGTGACACGCTGTGCAGGTAGTGGATTAGATTATACACTGGAGAATTGGTTTCTGCGCTTAACTGATCCTCAATTTACCATAACATTTTTCAACGGTACATAGTAAATTTTATTAATTAAAGCGTGTATAATAAACGGCTAAACGTTTGCCTCTTGCAATTCTTCATTGCCCTACTACGAACATCGCGCGCTATAGTTCTGTTCACCTAACTTCTTAATATTTTCTTGCTAAATTTTCACAATCATGCGCAATTGCTGGAGTATAAGCAGACGCTTGAATTTCCAAATGGTATGATAACAATGCAAAGTTGCAGAGAAACTTCAAATGGCTTAATAAATATCTTTGCCCGCGTGTCAATAAAATGGCTTTTTTTTTCAATAAAGCTTCAGTGAATGAAAAGAACAATAACGTAGCTAAGCTAATATCTGGTTGCTTGAAACAAAGACCTTCCTGCAACGAAATTAAATTTTGAGAACTCTTGCTTATTTCTGAGAATACTCAACTTTGACGGAGTTCTTCAAATTCATTAAGGATTTGTCTTTCATCAGCTTTCTTTTCTTATTGCGGCTCTTTCAAATTTTACAGCTTCACGAACGAGAAAAGCCGGTGAGTTTCGACACGATTTTTTTATTCATCAGTATCTTCAGTGTCTCGTACAATTAGTACAACTCGTTTTAAACGTTGCTTTTTACCTGTAAAATATTAAATAAGCATTAACAAGTCATATCACCCTTCAACTTTTAAGTGCTGCTGAAAAAGATTCTCTGAACAGTGCATTGTTGATTCTCTATAATTATCCAAGTTTCTCAGTGGAAAAAAAAAACACTTTCTGATTTAAAATTAAATTATTTCCTAAGAACTTGTAATTATTTAAAACAAAAGCTTCAGATTATAATATGTTAGTAAATTATAAAGTGACGTTTTAAGAGATACATGCGAAATTGATAAGATCAAATATCCGGGAATTTACGAATGTATTTTTGGAGGCGAAGGTACGGCACATAAAAGCAAACCATCTTTTCGATTGCAAATGCACTTTTAATGGTATAGATGCCATAACGATAAACTTGTGTCGTAAATAGACTCATCGATTGCGCAATTGCCCTATCGATCGTTAAAAATTGACTATCATTTTTTGCGTGCGCAGTGCACCCAACAAAAATAAGATATGAATATCTCAACGAGTTGGGTCGTTATGCGGGGGACATGAATGCCTGATTTGGTGTAACTGGATTACGTTATCGTCGAAATTTTTCATTCATTATTCACATTTCAAATCGAGCCTCCGCGAGCCTTCAAAAAAAGAAAAATAGAATCTTAAATCAGAAACGTTTACCGTCCGATAGGGAAAAAAATTAATTTTACGATCGAGCGAAAAAGAGCAAGTGAAATAGCATAATAAAATTATCCAAGTAGTTTGTCAAGCTGCGTGTAAACACAGCCACATGTCATTAACAGCAAAACGATCACCGCCACTTGGCTACTAGCAGAATAGGGGAGCGATAAGTGCATGTCTGGTTGATTCTAACGAAGACACATATCGTCCTGTGTTGGTTGGTTGCAGATTTAATGGTGGGTCTGATATCGGTGCTGACGGATATCGTGTGGCGATCGACTGTCTCGTGGCACGCAGGCAACGTGGCCTGCAAGATCGTAAAATTCATGCAGGTCGTTGTCACCTACAGCTCCACCTACGTTCTCGTCGCTCTTTCCATCGACAGATACGACGCGATAACTCGACCGATGAACTTCTCCAGGAGTGGTAAGTTACAATTCTCCCTTCTTTCTCACTCGTTCTTTCCTTTCCATACTTATCGCTTTTTCTTTTTTTTTACGTCAATGCTCACCGTTGCGATACATATGAACCATACTTTCGCGATTCTGTGGTCTTTGGAATTTCTGATTCAATCGGGATCTCGCATTAACTTTGCAGAAGCTGAAATTTCAGTCGAACGAATTGATATCACAGCTATTGTTCCTTTTGAAATGTTCTAAAAACTAATTAGGATCAAGCGTTTTTGACCGAACAGCACTGGCAATGTAATCAATCAGGGTTTCGAAGTAGCCTTTTCTTATGGGAATTGCTCGCGTTTGTCGCGAAGCATCTGAAATATTGTCGTGAATCATTCATAAATCTTTTTCTAGCTGTCGTCACGAATAAACTTGACTTTTCAACTTGCAATTTCTGGGGTCGCACGGTCCATCTGCAGAATGTTCTTTATGGACTTTTGTCAAAGGACCAGGGTGAAAGAAATAAAGATTGATGAAGGATTATAGGCGTCGCTGACCGTCGAACGAAAATATCGATGCTTTCCTGTACATATTCCGCCGTAAGTCTCCCGGGTCCGCGTAAACTTTTATGTCGAAGATACTTCCGAGGACGCGATATATCCGGGCGCCTTTGACAAATAATCATTTGAAGTTTCCGTCGCGCACAATATCGCAAGATGTATATATGTATATACACACGCCAGCTGCGATCGCTTTCGAAAATGAAAAGTTTCGGCTTTATAAATCCGCGGCGACGCGGCACCCGCGGCTCGATAATGTATTATCGCTGCACGTGTGGCGCGCCGCGGAAAATACTGCGGTTCTCTAGGCGCGTAAGCGTCGTCGAACCGTCGAGATTGTCCGCCGAACGGATATCCAACGCTAGCGAATTGCCAGCGGAGAGGTCGCTCGTCCGTGGCACGATTCCGTGAATGACGCGCGCCCTCGCGAGAAAAAACGAAAAAATTGGGCGTGGATGTTGTTCAGCGACCGCCAAAAAGAAAACGGGCGAGGAACGAGAGATCCGGAATTCGGGCGCAAGGCACACCGCGAGAGAGAGAGACAGAATTTGCGACTTCTTGGCGAGTTCTTTTTAGGAGAGGCGTGTGACGACGGCGACGAGCGGGCGTGCGTAGCCCCCCCCCCCCCTTCTCCTGCGGCTCATTCGCCGGCGGGCGGCCAAGAGCGCCCTCGTAAAATGTCTCTCCTCCTCCCGTGCAGGTTGAATAATCCGCGCGGTATCTTTACTCTCGGCTATTCTGGAATATTTTTCGGGTGCTCGCGCGACGTCGATTCATCTTTTTCCCTTGTCCTCTCCCCGCCAGCGCAGTCAAGCGGCTCCTCTCTTTATTAAATTTCATCGCACTTTCTTTCTTTCTTTTTATTTTTTGCTCGAATTGCTCGTGCGCATGCAAAAACGCTTGTTTTCATCATCGAATATTTCAATAAGTATTGCACGTGAGACAGACTCTTATTGCTTGTCTGTCCCCTCAAATTGCTCGATATTAATATTGTCGAAATTTCAATTTATCAACATGTTCGTGCGCGTACTGCTCAATGAGTCCTTTATTTTTATCCATACTTAAGTCATGTCTAAGTCAATTAAAAATCACTTCAATTTATTGAGTTCAACTGATATTTCATTTGAAATGAACATAGGATGCAGGGCTCGAGCTTTGGTGACCATCGCCTGGAGCCTCTCGGTGGTCTTTAGCGTGCCAATTATTTTCCTATACGAGGAAAAGGTTGTCGAGGTATGTATACTTTATCAATCGGAAATTTAGTGTCAAACCAGGTTACGAGATAACTTAATTGCTAAAGGGTGCGCTTTTTCTTTTCTTTTTGTTTTTTCGTTCAGCCCACCATTCAAAGTAGATACATTACTGGTGTATTTGAAAAATTAAAAGATATATATTTTTGTGCTTGATAACAACAAATAAAGAAATTGAAAATATCCGACTGCTAACCGCAAAATGCCCTCAACGTGCTTCGTATGTCGATCAACAGGCGATTATTAAAAATTGATTTTCTAGATTAAAAAAAGTTTTTTATCAAGTAAAAATGAACTTGTGAGAGAAAATATGTCAATATGAGAAAATGCACGTGGAACTGACAAGTAAGCTTATATCGTTGAGAAAATCGAAAGCTGAAAATGAAATCAGCAAAAATAAAGGGAATCCTGACAAGTCAATGTTGTGCGTGAACAGGGTAAGAAGCAGTGTTGGATAGATCTAGTGACGGACACGAATTGGCGCATCTACGTGACGATAATCAGTATAACGGTGTTCTTCGTGCCGACGGTGATAATCAGCGCTTGCTACATCGTCATAGTTTGGACTATCTGGTCGCAGAGCCGAGCACTCAGGCAGGACCAGACGAGAGACACGAGGCGTGCCTCGTCCAGAGGACTCATACTCAGGGCTAAAATCAAGACTGTCAAAATGACCTTTGTCATCGTTTTCGGTACGTCTTTTACCTTACTTAATTGCGACTGCACGTTGTTTTACTTTGCGCGCCTTGCGCCTGCGCGTAAACAAGCGAAGTCTGTTACGTGTACTTTGCCTCCGATCTACTTCACGTATACAATTCTCGTTGAAATCAACTTGCTAGCTGCACGATGAATTTCACTTATGATGAATGCACGGTGCTGTTAATTTTTTTAAATATTTGAAAACTAACGCTTGTTTTCCCGACAGTAGCTGCTCATGGCAATCAGTTTAAATTTACGCGATGAGAGTGGAGCGTAGAGCCCTAAAAGTTATGCTTACATTTTCATTTTCAATATAGTTACTCGAGTAATTGCTCCACAAAATATTCGGTATGTACACATTCTCAACGAAAAATAACGATCACTTCAGTGTGTGTAACGTCGCTCTATTAAAAAATCTCGTTGCTTGTTGGCTTGTTTCTGTGCGAAGAAGCCCCTTGTCAATCAACGTACAAGCTCTCTTACTGATTATACAAAAAACAAGCCAATACAATAACCCAATACGGACTGGAGTAAATGCGGCAAAAGAAAAAATAAGGGGACTTCCTTAAATCCCCAAAATAGCCGGATCGACAAATAGCTTGAACGTAGTTTCCCACAACTTGAATTTCATCAGTGATATGAACAGAAGAGGTTCTATACAGTAGTAGAGTCATTCAACAAGCAAAGTCCACTTTTGAGAAAAAGAAAAGGTTTGGCGATAGCGGAGGAGGACAAGCGGAACTGGGAGAAGGAAAGCCGAAGCGCGTATGTCGGAAAAAAAGTCAACGAAAGTGTCTTTTGCCCCGGGCAGAGAGTAAATGCCAATCGCCGGGAGGTAGCTTCTTTCCGTTTTCCACCGTACGAGCGAATTTTTTAGCTGACGACGCGCGTGCGACAGGAAAAGACTGATCATGCGAGCTAGCATTTCTCTCTCTCTCTCTCTCTCGTCTCTCTCTTTTGATAAAATGCGAGCAATAAATTCAATATTGCCTTTCTCTCTCTTCTGATTTTTCTTCGGATTTGCTGAATGACCTACATTAAAGTGACCGTCGAACCTCAATCCTCGACGATAAACTTTATACGAGCTTCGCCGCAAATTTCGGAGATTCTCGACCATAAGCTCTTTGAACGATGAGAAATGAAAAAGACATTTCAATTTCTAATATTCACCGTGATTCGAGAAATATCGACGTATTGAAAAATAAACGTTTCGAATTCTATATTGCGAGATAAAGTAAATAACTTGTTGCGCTGCGCGCAGGTGGGTTTCCATGTCAGTCTCGAAAATCTCGTAGTATAATAATGTCGCATCGTTTCTGAATAAATGCAAAATGACTTGACGTCTTCGTCGAACATTCACCGAGCGAATCTGCTTTGTCGGTAATCAGCCAATCACGAAAATACGCTTCGTCGAAAGCGAAAGGACGTTCGATTAATAAAAGTTGATCGCCGCGACGACACCTTCGTATCTATATGCGCATTCGAATTCATTTTTCTTTTCGTCCTCGACCCTATAATTGAATGGACTCGCGCGAGCTTTCTCTCGCTGTCCATTCGTTCGTCAAGGCCTCGCATACGCATAGGTGCGCGTCGGAACAATTAAATTTCCGAGTGATGCGCCAGAAATTGCACGGCTTTCAAAGTATCTCATCGAACTACTCGTATTTCCGACGCACCTTCGGCAGCACACTAATTGCTTCTGAGAGGTGTTCGCAGTACAAAGTTGCTTCATTTCCAAGGGAATCGCTTAATGACACTGTGCTTTTGTCCTGACATTGTTGATATATCGCAGGTGGTGTGTGATTCTTACTCAAATTGCGGAGCACTCCTGAAAGCCATATTTTTTCGCGCAGCCACGTCGAGCAATTTTATGACTCAAATGTGAAGTATTTCATTTATAAACGAGCGCGTGCAAATTTTTAAAAGCAGTCATCTTTATACGAAGTAAACGAGCTTCTGTCATTTGCCTTAGGAACCGTGAAACTCGTAAATTTCAACTGATATCCAGAGCACGTCCTCTTTGACTTATCATTATAATTTTTAATAAAACTACTCGTTCAAAGCAGACAGAATAATTTAAAAATCATAACTGTTATTCGAACTTCACATATACAAAAAAAGAAAAACATTCATTAGAAAGTGTTTTTTAAGCTTGCAAAACCATCGATACTAGAACGATAACGTAGCAAAACGACCAGCAAGTAGCAAGTGCATTCGTGCGTGACAAGTAGTGGATCTTCGATTAAACGCCCGCGGGTAGCGCGAATACTCCAATAGTGCTCTGTAACCCAGAATTGCAAAAGTGCCAAAAGCACGAGTTGGGCGCGACCATTTTTCCGCGATTTCGCACTTTGATTCTCTCTTGTAAGGAGCTCTCGTCGAACAACGACGCTCTACTTTGGGAAATCCTTGTTCCCAGGTGAAAACACGCGCGTTACAATTGTGATCGAAGCGGGCAAACTAAACGGCCCTTTCCGATTGTATCAATGACATTTTCGACGCGTGAATGGATTGACTTTATGTTTCAGTATTCATCTTGTGCTGGAGTCCATACATCGTGTTCGATCTTCTGCAGGTGTACGGGCAGGTGCCAAAGTCGCAAACGAATATAGCTGTCGCCACGTTCATTCAAAGCCTGGCGCCGCTGAATTCTGCCGCGAATCCAATAATTTATTGCCTTTTCAGCACGCCATTCTGCAAAACTGTACAGTAAGTCAGAGCCCAGATGAATGTGGTCGTTTTACCGTGAAATCTATGTGAGAGTCCATCGGGCAATGCGGCGGGAAAGGGGACGAGAAGAAAAAGAGAAGCAGAGAAGGGAGAAGAATTTGAAAATACACGCGTCGTTAGTGGCGTTCTCCCCAGCTAAAGCATATCAAAGCGCGTGACAAACGACGCGCGAGCGTTCGCGGACACTCCGCGCGACGGCGGCGCGAACGCGAGCGAAACCGAGATATAAAAATAGGCCCGAAGGGGGCTCGGGCTTGTCCTGAGGAGCTAATTTAAGAGGGATCATAAGCGCCCGAGGCTGACGAGCTCGAGAAAGCAACAATTATTTGGGATAGAGGAACTTAAGACGTGTCTGAGCCGCCGCCACGGTGTCGAGCGTGAAAAAGAGACTGTCGTTCCACGGCCGACCTGCAGAAATATACGTATATACGAGTATATCCGTATACAGCCAGACTCCTCGTTCGCTCCGCTCGCCTCTCTGCGCGTCGAGGGTCCTCATCGATCAATCACGTCGTCGTTCGCCCTGATTATACACGTGTTCGCGGCATAACTGTGTCTTCTTCTTCCGGCTAATGCTCGACGGTGACCATCGAGTAGGCAGGGGGTGGCGAGCGGAGGGCAAAGAAAGATGAATACGTACGCGTGTTTTCGGGTGATTGCGCGAACGTAGCGTATACGCGCGCTGAATTAACTCGATGACAATTAGTCGCGAGAAGCCAGAAGTGAATGGCGCAACTTAATTGCTAGATTTCGATTGCTAGAATTCGAATCTAAATGTATTCATTCAGTGGACATACATACGTGTCCAACATATAAAATCTACTTGGGAACGCAGGAGCTCGCGGCACGGTATGCAGCCTTCGTGAAAAGATCATTGAATTATCTTGCAAATTACGATTCGACGGGATGTACATACTCGAATTAACAGCGAGGCAGATTTACTTTTTCCGAAGTGTCAAACAATTTAAATTTTCCTTTCAAATTCAATCCGAAAATTTATGTTTCTTGTCATTGCGCAAAATATTTTTTTACAACTCTTGAAGATCAAAAAAGCACAACCTCGAATGGGCTGATCTAATATTTTTCGGTTTCATTCGTGTTTTATAACGAACAAAGTTATTTCAAAGAAACCAATATCTTGAAGACCGAGAAATTTAAGGTCGGCAAAGTTATTCGGTAATCGCGAGTCGTTTGAATGAACTTTTCAATAGCCCGGCACTCGCGTATAAAATTAATATTAATTTAATGCTCTTCCTAATACTCCGTCCAGTATTAGGGAGAGCACTAAAGAGCTTAACAACGCTCATTCACCGTGGATATAATAAAGAAAATGCATCCTCCTCGTAAAAGGATTTCAACGCACACCGCATTGCCAACGTTTAAAAAGATAACGTCGAGTAATTGCAACGACCCTCTTCTTCCTCTCATCCCGCTGTTATTCAAAGTCGATGCGAGCAGAAATATCCCCGAAGTTAAAATTAAACTGCACGCATCCGTCGCTTCTTTTTTTTTTTCTTTTTGTTTTGCTCGTTCATTACCAAGTCATTTGCACGTCTCGTCTCCTGTCCTCGGGGAGTCTGTGAAACCGTCAGAAAGTTTGCGACTGGCTACCCGAGCTCTTAATCGAAAGCCTTGCGATCTCTCTTTATCGTATACATGACAGTGCAGCTTGACCCACGCGATGCTCTTGCGAACCAGCCGAATGGTTTAACGAACGAGAACGCCATCTAATTCAAATTACGATTTTACCTTATTTGCGATATCCGCCGTTTTATCCCGCCGCATTGAAGCTGGACGGTCGACTAGATTCTGGTTATTAACTATCTTCCTTATCTCGAGTAGAGGATTTTGTAGCGTCGAGTGGGTGAGTAGGCGAATGACGGATTGACGGAAAGAAAGAATCCATCATACTTGGTACGCAAACTACAATTAATTGCGTGGGCATTGGGTCGAGCAACTCGTGATAAAAATGACGAGCCTTTTAGAAAGAAATGTAACATGAAAATTAGAAGCTTTTGTTTGACTTTCAAATGGCCAAGATATCACAGAGTTAGATTATTCGCTTGTCACGCACGTGATATTTGGGCAAACACTAGCGACGCTGCAACTCGCTGCAGCCGATGTAGCGAAATCCAATATGCTTTCAGGAACATGCAGGCGATAACGTGGTTTACGAACCTCTGGCCGAAGAATCCGCAGCACTGCTTTGGCAGCAATGCGCACGCCAACAGTACCAGGACTACAGTCACCACATCCTTAACGGCGCAGTCTTCCAGGCGCAGTGGCCACATATCGTCCATGCTGCACCCGTCCACGCGGAAGCAGCGCGTCGTTGTGTCGCTCGTTTAACGCCTAGTCCGACCGAGGTATAGCGCGCTCTTTTCATCACCTTACAGTAGTTATCTACCTGTGTTTCTGATTAGAACGTCAATTGACTGTTTCGAGTGCCGAAACTTCCAAAGCTTATTTTTCCGGTGCAGGACAATACAAGCCGAGCCGCGCCAACTTCCAGCTCGCCCTGCAGAGCATCCCAAGCGTCTGCGCGTCAGGCGGCAAGGTAAATTATTTCAAAGACAATCCACTGCACGATATTTTTACAAGAGGTATTATCGCAAATTACGCGGAATCCACGCTGTAACAAGCTCATTAAAAAAAAAAAAAAAAACAGAAAGCCCTATTTTTTTTTTCCTTTTGTCTTCGCGTCGTTTAATTAAACCCTTCCATTAATTCTGTCCGCCGTCGCTGCCAGCCACGCATAAACTTTACGCAAACTCCCTCGCGAAAAAGAGATAATCAAGAAAGGAGAGAGAAAGAGAGAGATGGAAAATCTCATCTCAATAAACGACTGGTATTTTAGGTGGTGACGAGTTGTGGCCAAAGTCTAATAGAATTACAAAGCAGCATCAAGCAACAGCAGCAACAGAGAGTACACGAGGAAGCTTCAGCGCCGTCTTTACGTTGCCAACCTGTCTCTTTCACTCTCATCGTCTTCCCCACTCGCGAACTTTCTAGACTGACGTTTTTTCCTTGACGCGGGGTCGCCAGACTCCCATAAAAGTGAACGTTTCGTGACGCTCCTGTGCGGGTGCCGACTACCGCGTGTCCGTATGATATACTTTTATGCGTGTATTCGGCACGCGCAAAAACTTGCTTTATGCTCTCCGAGAGGGAGGAAGAGGGCTTATAAAAAAGTTATGTTATTAGCACACGTGTTCTGGCTTGAGATTATGGAAGTCAGATTAATGGCAGAGCTCCGACAGACTCTGTTGTGAAATAAAAAAAAAAAAAAAAAAACAGATTATTAAAGTATGCTACGTGCGATAATTTATCGGACACAGTCGATTGAGTTATAGAGGTCGTTTCGTGTCAAATTTATCCCTTACTGAAGATTCTAATCGGTATAAGCTTTTTAAAATTGCACGAGTTTAGTAGCTACAACTGTGTCTTAAAATGACGGATGGCTACCGAATCTTTTTCTGCGAACGAAATGAAAGGGGGAAAAGAAATATTAGTCTGAAAAATGTATTAGGCGATTTATTCGAAAAACATCATTGAATATGCAGCATATTGAAAGTGCAACGTCGTTCAAAATTTTATAGGTGTGCATGTATGTACTTGATTAATTGCGATTAAATTTGTTAGAGCATTACCTCAACGATATTTCTTTCTTTCTTAAATTGTCGACCCGATCATGATCCATGTGTATAAAATAACTAAAATATCTGACAAATGAAAAATCTGGTCAAAAAGAATAAAATTCCGCGCTGTTCTCGAAATGTAAAAAAAAAAAAAAAAGAAAGAAACGACATTCAGACGTACTGCTCTGTGGGTATTTCTTTTATTTTGCCGGATAAAGCTTATGCAGCCTTAAAGTACTCGGTAACAGACTCCATTCTCGAGTACAGCGTGGAAGAGAGAAAGAGACAAATCTAGCTTACGGGGATGAATGGAAGAGACACTTCGGGTCTTGCTCTTGCTCGCTATGGGAATCCGATCTGCGCGAACGTCATAAATATAACCCGCTTCTTTGCGCGTTTCCTCTCCGAGATGCGCAGACGAGGCTCCGTGTTTGGGCACAGAAGGCGAAATCGAAAACACATGATTTATCGCGAGTCTCGCGTCGATCTAAAATAAAAAGTAGGGAGCGAGCCACATTGCAAGGAGGAAAATTTCGATTGAACGTGTATCAGAGAGGACAGGTGGATTGCCGTTATTGCTCGATGCTACCAAGTTCGATTCTTTTCTAATAAAAATGAGTATCCGATTTGAAGTCCAGAGGCGTGGTGTCTGACAGCGAATGACTAAGATTGTCATTGTGCGACTTTTCTTTATCTCTAACAAAACGATCGAATGTAAGGGATCGGTGCCCATTCATTAGAGCAGTGATTCACTATAAAAGTGACATTTTTGGAAGGCGGCAGTGCAAAGCTTCTCGGAGAATAATAGCGAACAAACAAATGAATGATACGCATACAATGCGAAGTAACACAATAGTGGTGGGCAAATTTCCGTCCGTCTCAATAGGTCAAAAGACTGATACGTGCGAGCGAAAGAGAAAAAAGAAACAAAGAGCAAAACCAAAATGGTTAATGGGAAATAAAGACAACGTAGAAAAGAGACGGACACGGTTCGGGTGTAATGCATAAAAAGAAAGGCAGGATGGAGATTGAAAATCGCAAGAGAGATGTATATTCGCGCAGAAATGCTTCTCGCGTCCTTGAAGCGTAGTAAGCAATGGTAAAGAAAATGCAAGCGATATGCTTTCGCGAGAGGAAGTCACTTGTCAGATTCTTGTCATATTTATTATCTATGGCTTCTCGCAAAACGAAACTCACAAGTGCGATGTAACGTGTATGTTTTCGTACCGCGTAAAAAAAAAATGAGTGTGCCAATTCAGAATGCATAACCGACACAGCAACAAGATAATATTCGATTCGTTAAAATAGGATACATTATACTGCTCACGTCCTTATCTTGAGCATAAGATAAGATTTTTAAGAAAAAATAAATATAGCTTTTCGATCAGTGGTGAATCAATTTATTACATATAGTAACATAACCAGCGCAATATTAAACAATGCGGTACCATACCATCTTTTTACATCAGGATAAGAAAGCAAAAAAAAAAACTTATACTTGTATTGAAGGCATGCAGACAATAAAAAATAATCAAATGAGACAAAAATTTAGAATGATGGAGCCCTATAGTCAGGCTTTCAGTATTAAGTTGGACATTCCAATCGTTCCAATTATTTTGCGTTAACACTAAATTGAAATATGTCAGCTAGTATTTTATAGAATTCCGCAATATAGAAACAGAGTTCATAACGCTCAATACAAAGGACCTGCATTTTATTATTTAATGACAAATTCGACTTCGATTTATTATATTGTTTTATTCGTTTCATACGAAAAACCCCTTATGTAGGGTAAACAGCGTAGTAACCTAATTTATACCAAAAAATTTAAATGATAAACCTTCTTAAAAGTTACCTTCTTTATAAAAGAATCATAAATACAGATACGTAATTTCATTTTTATTTTCCTAACTAGAAAAAAAATCATTATCTCTCCATTATTTAAAAATATATCTAAATATTTTTCAGATTATGTTTGGAACTAAAAAAAAAATGGCAATTACAAGAATAAATTATTCGATCCTATAATTTGTAAAAGTGACTAATAAATCATGACATTTAGAGTGGTATTAGCTGTTGTGCTAGTAAGACATGTGTGTTTATCGCTCTGCTATACGTCTGATTATATATATTTACTTTCGTCATGGCTTGTCCATAGTTCTTTTAGCTTACTCATACTTTATAATAAGCGAATTCAGGAAAAAGTTTTGCCGTTCGATATGGGGCACAATAAATTTCAAAATGATAAAGTGAGCGTTGCTCAAGCAGTGATTATCATCGAGAAAGTCGCAAGTGTACAAGGTAAAAAGAACCAAGCGCCTTTTTTTTCTAAAGTAATCAGTTACAGTATTTTTCCAAAGAAAAATCAAACAATCGTTATCGATACGGTGGAAGGAGTATAAATCAGAAAAAACCTCAAAGCTATCTTTGCGAAAAGTGAGCCGAAAAATAACGTCACTGCCTCCAAAATATCTCAAAATGATTTTTTTGTTTTTGGTACTTAAATGATGTTAGCTTTGCGAAAAAACTAGCCAAAAAAAGGGAATAATGTTATTTATATAAACGGTCATGAAATGAAAATAAGACTTTACGTAATGAAATAAAAGAGGATTATTTTTTCTAACGTACATTCGTGCATTTCTCATGAAATTATCGCTGGAAAATTAAAACGTAAAGATAAAAAGCTAAAATCAAGTATAAGTTTTATCTGACTAGGTATTGACGAGTTTGATTTTCATACAAATACTCAGCTTTAGAATAATACTATTTATGGACCTAGAAGACGTAATTAAGCTACCTATGGAGTCGGTCAATTACGAAGAAACAATTCACCATATATATAGAAACACAATTACTTGCTTTACTTACAATTTAGGTCACATAGCAAGATACTGCTCTAATTACGCGAACAGCCGAGATATGGAAAATCCTTTGACATCCCACATATCTCTAACAAATGTTATTGATAAGAAGCTAAAACAGACACAAGAAAGTATAGCCATCATTCAAACATTTCACAGCAGAATTGAGGACATTCCTATTCGAATGGAACCAACAAGTTAATCACACGTATTTAATGAACAAACGTTTTTTTAATAAACCTATGAGAGATAAGAAAATGTTTGCTGGAAAAAAAAAGACAGGTTTCCATTAGTTATTGGTTCTTCTTCCGTCATTAAACCAATCGACGGTACGCAAGTAACCCTTAAGAAGACCCCTAAGCAGAAATAAAACAAAAAGAAAAAACAAGTCACCAAAGTATGCCTTCTAGTGATCTAGAATCGCTGATTAATGACGTGGCTGTTAAAGTACGTACAAGCCGATCTAGTTGAGAGTTTTCCATTGACTTTTGAACTGACTAAATCTATATCATCATTCGTACAGTTTCAAATATTTAGAGTTACGTACACTTGTTAAACTTTACAATATAAGAAACATTGATGTATTTATTCTTGTTAATGTTAGGAACCACCTCAATGGATCTCGATATTTCCATCTCATCAGGCTTCTAGATAGTCAAGAAGAACACTTTGATTTGTTTATCGAAAACTAAATACTAAGGTACTGGTATCATTTACAATATAAAGCATGCAATAAGAATCTTTTGTTTTCCTACGAACTTGCGAATTTTATATTAGAACCCAAAAAGCGTATAAAACAAAAAAGAGAAAAATTTTTTAACTATACAAGGCATATACATATTTTGGTTTGTGTCACGACAGCTGAAGGCTGATATTAATTTTCATTTTTCCGGATTTAATAAGTATTGTAAAGAGATTATTCGATTGGTCGACGTATTGTTTTTTTATATGAAAATTGTAAAATTATATTGACATCAGAAGAATACATATTCATTGATTCACAGAATTATGTGGAATCAAAATCATAAACTTGAAAAAACCGATCTACATTATCGCATGCTACAAACCTTCCGACGTCACACTAACTGATACAGAATGGAGTACTATCTTAAATAACACCAAGATTAAACCTAGTTTCGTGCTAGTAGGTGATTTCAATTTCACAATCAGGCATTGAATTGCTCCTGGAACAGATATCAATGGGGAAACGTTGTGAGAGCAATCTGAGAAATTTGACTTATTCTTGCATAATAATACTATTTTCACTTGAATGAAAAATAGCAATAACTATAAAAGTAACATCAATTTAGTTCCTTTACTCTGCGATTATAACTTACTTGTTAAGGCCCAAAATCTCTGGAGATTCTGACAGGTCAAACCATTTTCCAATTTACATAGGGGCTAATGATTGAAACTAGACTATTTTTACGTGGGGATCACATCTCTTTTTCCTCTATTGAAAAATATAATTACTTTACGGAAATTGCAATAGATACCGTCAAAAAATCTACTTTTCCGAAAAAATCCTTTAGTAAGAACAAATGTCAAAAATACGGTTACATGATGGGATAATAAATGTGATAAGGTTAAACATCTAAATCAGGCTGCTTACAAGAGATGAGAGTTCATTGAAATTATATCAGATTACAAATATTATATCGAATATAAAAGATTATTATTCAGTTGTAGTCAAAAGCCCCAACAAAAACAAAAGAAAATAATATTTTTATCGTTTCACGGTTACTCTAATCTAAAACGTATCTAGCATATTTCTAAAGTCTGATAATGTCTTTTTCGACGATTATTTTACTTACGCTGAATAAAATAATCCAACACTGTATTGCTACTATAACTGACTTAGACCCAAACGTTATCGATCTATAGTTTGCTGATGACTCAATTTTATATATTTCTACTGATGGTCTAGAAAAAACTATAGAAATAATAGGAAAGGTACTCAAAATAGTCACAGATAGATTACAATTATTAGGTTTGAATGAGCCCCTGAAAAAACTAATTTTCTGCACTTTAATAAAATAAGGTATAATCCCGGAGATAATGATATTAATTGTCGGTTATTATTATTCCATCAGTATCAGTTAAATTTGTCATATTCTTGGGACTTTACTTTGA